ATAACCACCGAAGACCGACACACCAAGGGAGAACAACATATCCTTTCAGTCCTCAGAAGTTGGGTCTTTTGTTGGAAACGGTCTTACAGGGACAAAGGGAAACACAAAGCATCGTCCTCGAGAGTATAGTAAAACAAGAGTGGGTGTTCACATCTTGCACACATGCACACACGCACTGTAACTGTCACTTGTGGTCCTAGTGAATAGATCCATTGCACTTCAGCCATCTTTGAGGTGTGAGCTTTTGTTCAACAGGTATATGGAGTTGACCTTTTATGCATTGTTAGTACAAAACACACCTCCAAGATGGCCGCTAAATGCAATCTATCTATAGTCCATAAGGGTGCACGCCTGTAAATAGGCCAAAAATCCGTCCACCGAGCTCATGAATAAAAGTTATACTCTCAAAATATTCTATATTAGAAAATTTTGAGTGCCATAAAATTGGGGAATTGAAGAGATATGGTAATGAACCTCTGTCCCGGACTTGGGGCTTCCAATTCTGAGCATTTTGGATGCTATTGGGCTCGAAAGTGGCGCTATTTGGCCATGTTGTGGAGGGATCGTTTTTCAAGATGGCTACTTTTCCGCTTTGGGGAAAATAGGGGTCGTCTTTTTTGGGTGAGAATATCTCGAAAAGTCAATGGTCAACCCATCAAAAAATGAAAAGAAAATGAAAGATGACACATTGATCATCATTTTTCTGTGCAGCTTGAATACCTGTGAGAGTTCTGAGTATTTTTAAAAGAATTTTGAAGTATGCGCATTTAGCACTAGTGTCTATGGGATTTTTTTTGCAGGGTTGCACCCATAAAGGGCTGCAGCTTCAGTGCCATCATGAATATGAGGTTATTTATATCGAGGAGAGTTGTTGACTCTTTCCTCTGATGCCTTTTCTTGTACATCATAGCAGGCCCATTACCGTAGGACAAGTACAAGTAACTAAACAACATGCAAGGATCAAAGAGCAATTTAGATTCTCCGGTAAGACACAAAGTTCTACGGATATTAACACCCCTCGGTTCTTCATTAAACTTAAAGAAACAGGTTTTGTGATTGATTAGGGAGTAAGAACACTCTGCACCTGCAGTAAGCGGCACGTAATGCCGTGCCGAGAAAAATAAATGGCGCGCGCTCCCTGAGCGCAAGGCAAACAGCCCCCGTGTTTGATGCTGCCCCGCCGATAATGGACGGGGCCAAGAGGGAGACTACATTGCCATGGCAACCACGCAGACTCAGCAGAACAAAAACAGACTCCCTAAAGTTTTCCCTACTTTGTGTTGTTTTTGTCCCCACTCCATTTTGTTGGGCCAATCTGGGTCAATAGATGACAGAAGTAGGTAAAGAAGAGGTCAGTAAGAAGCCAAAGACTTTTGCATCAGTGAAGCTGTCCATTACATGTAGGTAACGGCCATAAAGTTTCCCCAAAAAATCTTCGGACTTGGCAGTGGCGGATTTCGTATTTAAAAAGTGGATGTTCTCACTTGACCATTAGGTCAAGAACTGGCCGAATTTTTCCTAACTTTGGGGAAACAGGGCAAGCTTCACAAACGTGGGCCACAATAAAAACTCGATAGTAGATTTTTAGAGTAGAAGGTTTTTAAGGTTACATACAATATTTGCTTTTGCTGGGTTTAGTACCAGTATTTTTATAGCAAATATTGTTACAGTGACCTGTTTAAAGTTTTGTCTTCATATATGCAGAAAAAAAACAAGAAAACAATGCTGTTCTTTTAGCCTGGTTCCCTGACCCTTCTTCAGAAGAAACAGAGCAAGTTTTAGATGTCACGGAGTTGTCAGGTTATACCAGACTATATGGCTTGCACCTGTTCACCGATGTGTAACCGATTGCAAAGCAAAATGCTGACCAACTAAATTTGGTAAACTGGGTGCAGTATTTGAATTTTTTTTTTTTTCCAACGCTGGTCGGCCGACCAACGTTGGAAATTGATACAAAAATTCCACTTTTCTTGAAAATGACAGCACCAGGTGCCATGATTTCGCAGGATGCTTGAGAATATTAACATTCACTTACAATCAAGTAAGGAATTTCATAATAATTTGGTACTTTTGTTTTTTGATGTTTACAAATGTTGTATATTACCATTAAAGTTGTGGTTAACACTAAAAAAATACTAATATTTAGGCATGGGCTCTGTGCGCCAGCAAAAGAGGGCACGTTTTTACCACTTTTTGAGACCTCAGTGGACGGGACACACAGCGTGTGCATACTGTACACTGTACTAATTCGCATGTGAAGTACATGTATGCACGACTTCCTGAATGTGCCAAAGCTATTAGCAAAGCATCTTCGCGTGAGGCGTTGGCAGCGCACGAATACGTTTCAATTTAGCTTGCGATGATCTCCCAGACCAATCCCTGCCTCCAGTCCAACTAGGTCTGATGCCTAACAGAAAAAACTACATTATTTACAAGTTCTCAAAAGCAATGACTTGTAACTGGCCTTTAGCACCTGTATTAACCCTAACTTTTCCGAATCCTCCATAATCCTCTTTGCCAAATAGAGATTTTGGAAGAAGTACTTGGCAAAAGTGTGTTGCTGATTTCAGAGGATGCACTGTGTCAAGGTCTTGGGCCGGACCTTGTGTTGTTTATGCTCAGCCGTTGATAAAATTAGGCCTATATTAATACTTGAAATCCTTCGCACTACTCCAGGATGTCACTGGCTCTGCCTCAACATATTGACAGTGATCGCCAGAGGATTTTGCAAGATTGAGGTAGTGGTCACCACTCCCAGACCACATTGAAGAAATAAGGCCAAAAAAAAAAAGTCTCCGGTTTCTGGTATGCGCGCGCGTCGCCATAGCCATGCGCGTCGGCAAAATGAAAAAAAATTTTTTTCAATAAAAGATGATGTCTCAAAACTGCCAAACTCACTGGTTTGACTGGAATCCTGCTACAGCACAATTTTAACGTGTTTTTAGATGGGGGTATGATCGAGAATAAGCTTTATGTGGACTCTCTGGACTCCCGTACATTTTCCACTAAGTTTAGTCGGGCACCATTTGCAGTCATCAGCCGACATTTGAAGCAAAAAAGTCAGGTAAAAAAAAAAAAAAAAAAGCCGCGTCGCCGCACCACTTTTTGGGCAAGCTCCATACCAGAAACCGGAGACTTTTTTTTTTGGCCTAATGGAGGATTTTGCAGGATTGAGGTAACATCCTAGCAAAAATGCCTAGGGAGTTAGGGTTAAATTGTATTCCATTGTATAAACTCCTCCATGAATCCATGAAACCACAGAGTGCTAGGGTGGTTTGGGGTGGTACATGGAGCATGGCAGGGCTGTTTGGGGTGGTATGGGCTCCGTGCGCCAACGAAAGAGGGCGCCCTTTTACCTAGCAATGACGTCCCATGGGCGGGACATTTAGCTGGCTGACGTGCATCGTTCCTTGTGTGTGACGCACGTACACCAGGGGATTTGTACTATGTACACGCATTGGTACGGCCATGCATTGCCGCAAAATTGCAGTCAGGCAAGATGGCGTCGTTCGGTCACCCCCAACTGTACTTTCTTTGCCAGTGAGGGGGTACTTGTGAACGGAGCGGATGAGGGCTAAATGGTTAGACAAGCACTGAACGCACCGAACTAATGTAAATTACATCAAAGCCTGATAAAAAAAATCTGGACACCTGTATTCATGACAGCTCCACACAAGTTAGCCATCTCATATAAGCACCTGACTAAGCTATTCTTCATTGGTTGACGCAATTCCTCCACCTGCAGTTAAATACATGGGGAACTAAGGTCTTACACCCTCTCCCCCCTCTCCCCTCCACTAGGTAATACAATGAGCGTGGCATTGGATGCGCAACTGATTGAAGCACCCCCAGGCGTGTGGCATTAGCCTCTAATCATCAGATAACAGTCCTCATTGTCACCTGCAAGTGCACTGGAAAAACCTCCCGCAAGGCAAATGAATAACGCATGGTTGTGTTGATGACATCTGTGATAGAGAATTATTGTTACAGCACATGTACATGTACATATGTGCATCAGTCATGCACAGTTTGCAATCTGTTGACGTAGGAATTCTGTTATCGTATTTCGTGCAAAAGCATCATCAGCCCTAAGGGCTTAAGAAAAAGCCTGGTATATCATATAATCAGAGTAATCCTTCATCCCACTTCTAAAATATATTTGATCAATTTTTTCCCCACTATATTCAACTCTACTTGTATATCCGTATTATTCATGAAATTTCACGACGGCCATCAAATACCAAGTTTCCAAATTGCCCTTGACAGAAAAACAGGATATGTTATCCTTGAACAGACGGGAAAATATTGTATTTTGCATTCACAAGCGTGCTTGAACACTTCTTTACACCATAAAAAATTACCCTTTGACTTACCATTTGCAAAATGGTATTGGCACAGTGGAATAACCAGGGTCCAACTTGCAGGGGGAATTTGGGAGGGCCCATTTTTTGGCGGGGACCAATCAATGGGTTTTAAAGATACGTAGGATCGTTTCTTTTCTTGTGTCCATTTTGTTTTATTTGAAGCAACAAAATTGCAAAAAATCTTAAGGTAGATTTATATTTGCCTTTCCCCAAATTTTGAGTGGGTGACAGCAGCTTAGTTTCTTTAATACTATATAACCAATCTGACAGCCTATATGGGTGGGTGGGGGGGGGGGGGGCAGGAAGTAGAAAACTCAGTTCATCAGGTCTGTTTCAATGATTTTGAACAACTCTTGTAAATAACTGTTGTCAAGACTTATTACTCACTGAGAACTGGTCCATACTCAACGCAAACACAAATTGTTGACATCGCAGCAAGTCTTGGGGTGAATCCGAAAAACTTACACACATTTCTGTGAATTTTACAGCGGAAAGTTTTCTGACATCCTAATCTGCTTCACATTTGCATTCGCGTGAAGTACATGTATGAACTGGCCGAAAGATTTGGATCTAGGAAAAGCTGAAACAATGCAGTGTCCAGTGAAATATAGCCAAGGAAATAGAGTAAGGACCTACCATATTTTTGGTCCTGTGTTTCAGACAGCATCAGGTAGTTGTCGATGCTGATACCTCTCACTGTTGACGGTTGCTGCAGGAAGCGGTTGGGGATCCGCTCCAGCGGGTTGGGTTCCTTCCCACCGCCGAAGCCTAGATTCAGCAGCAACTCCTCTGGGTCATTCCGGGCAAACAAGAGGTCTGATACACTGTGGAAAATAACAAAAGAGAAAGGTTTTTTGGGGTTAATTTGTTTTTGTTATTATCAACATTCTAGTAACAGACCATGAATATACATGTACCTACTTTAAAGGGAAGTACAACATTTGCAAACATCAAAAAACGAAATGATCAAATTATCACGAAATATCCTACTGGATTGTTAGGGAATGATTGTCCAAAGCATCCTGTAAAATCATGGCTCCTGGTGTGCTGAAATTTTCAAGGACACTTGTATTTTTCCGACATACTAATCCTCAAAATCCATTTATTTCTGAAAACTGTGCACAGCAAAAGCAAATGTGGTACATTCCCTTTAAGAGCATTTAAGCACCCTGCTGTTTTCTCTTCAAACTGCCCCAAGCATTTCTGTGTTCTGACGCGCTGTAACTGTTTAACAGACAAGACGGTAAGGACTCTAACAAAAGCTAAATAATTTTTTCGTCATGAAAAAAAAAATGAAGTGGAAGAAGCTGTAAGACAGTCTCCTGAAATTGTAAGGACTGTTTGCGAACTGATTGACTTTGTGTAAATTATGCAACTGTTACCTTTGGGTTAAGACCCATTTTTCAGGGCAGGAAAAACTGATTATCAACGTTCCAATTCTTCATTTTGCAGATCATGTACGTGTACAAGGTTTATGAATGGTATACAAACTCATCGTATCAATATTAGAAAATCTTTAACAAAAAAACCCAACATGTTTCTTTACTACACATGTGCATTAATGTCGTCAAGGAGACAAATTAATTTGCTATCCACGCACCACAATCTCTTCAATATGACAAGGATAGTAGCCGGATTCCCTAAATGCGCCCTACTCATTCCATCAAGAAGGCATTAGCTTGGAGTCTGGGGACACAATCATCCTTCACTTGCTCTCCACTCCATCTTCTGGCTGCCTCTATTCAGAACTAATTCTTAATGGACCACTGGCTCGACAAATATGATTTGCCCGGCCAATTAAGCCTCGACAATAGAGACGCCCAGGTAGAAACAAATTAGGGAGCAATCCTTTGAGACGGTGAAGATAAAGGCGTGTTTGCTTTTCTGAATACGAATGCAGGCACGAACGTGATTTGCTTTGGAAATGCAACCTGTTTTGACTGTTGTTACATGTCAGTTGGAATGGCTGGGCTATGGTTGCCAAGTTACTGTGCAAATTACACTTTTGGTGAACTTGCCTCCTGAGTATCTTTAATGGAGGGGAACATTTGAAGCACTGATAACCAAAAACAATTCATCCACTATGTGAATGTATACACATTCAAAACTTCCCAAACATTACTTGTACCTCTTCCAAATACTTAAATTAACTGTGTAGACTGAACAAGTGAATATTACGTCAAACAAGACAAACAAAGGTGAATGTTGACCAGGAACATTAAATGCTGAGGAAGTTTTTCAGAACAAATGGGCTTGAGTAGCTACAGTCAGAACTTGAATTTCTAAGTTTGCTAGAACTACAGTAAATACTTCGTGCAAAGCGTATGCAAAGGGAATTCGATGTCGTGAAACATTCACTGTGAAATTTTATGGAGATGAAAGGCGTTAAACTGTAACAGATTCGCATTCGTGCCGAGTATGAAATGGCCTTTAAGCACAATGAGTACAGACAAATATACGGATACAGTATACAACCGCACACATTTATGCGTGCATGCACGTACATCATCTTTGTTGGGAGGTCAATGCTGAGTTACAGACGTCCCTTCCTGACATGTGTTTTGCAAACATGATGGACAGGGCACAGAAGTTGAAGGTGCCAAACTATATGATTCATATGTCCGTAACTGCCTGTACGGGCACATGGGTTCATTTCAATGCTTGTCAAATGATGCCGTGTACATGTAAACAGCAGCATACCAAATAAATGCAACTACACAGATTTTGCAATATGAAGAAATGGCCGGCTGGTCTGTTTAGCTTGTGGTCAGTGGAAGAATGAACTCTGTCTCCAAGTACCCCCTCAATAGTGAAAAAGACAAAGAGCCCCCGATGCTGAAGGACTCTCGAGTCCCACTGCCACCAAGATGCATTCATTTCAAGAACAGATGCTTGGTTCGTGTACATCCCAACTGCGCATTTGGATACGTTCCACTATCCAAGAACAACGTAAAGGTTACTATTGCACACGATTTTTTCTAAATTGCACAGGATTTTCCATTGCACAAAAAGATCGCAAATGTTGGCAAGGTTTGCAAGAATGGAACACACTTGTCGAGCCTGCTGTGTGCCATATGAGCGCGTGAACAAGTGCACGCATGCAACATGTCCTTCACTGGTTCTCCTGTATCAAGTAAACTGGAAGCACCACCTTCGCATCTGAACATCTGACATATCATTCCGTATCTCATAAGACAAAATGTGGTAGACAACCTGGCTCCAAAGAAGTTTGTCATCACTTGGGAATACTGAACAGAACGCAATATCTTAAGTATCCGGCAGGGACGATTCATGCAAAAGATGTCAGCAGGCCCATGTATCTTGCATTTTGATTCGCGAGGTATCAGATCATCCTGCCCTTCAGTTGTTGTTCAGATGGAAATGCGATCCATCGAGAGAATACCGGCCGTCCATTCCACACAGGGCTTCTTCATTCAACATTAAAAACTGGCCGTCCCGGATGTCCCTTGAATTGAAAACAAAGGATGTGCAATCTTCACGCAATGTGAGTTTCTGCTCGTGTATCCATTACAATAGTCCACAGGGTGTTACAAAATGTCCAGACGTCACCCTGGTTAAAACCTTGATTTCACATCCCTTCTGTATGCATACACTGTAACATGCAAACATTTAGTTTTCCGGGTATCATGAAAAGTCTTTTCCTTCTACCAAAGCCAATATGTTTAACCAGGCAGGTCTGCATTAAGGGCATCAAAAGTTTACAATATCTTATGTAAACTCATACATTCATGCATCTAGGCCAGCATGTATTACAAAATCCCCTAGGAAACTTCCTGGTTCAGAAAAAAACCAAATCTACAACAACACGTTCACATTAAACCAGGCAACCATGATGTACACAATGTAATAAAGGAAACAAGTTTGCAGATGGTTAGCACTGCAGTCATCTTTGAGGTGTGTGCTTTTGTCCAGAAGCAGGGGCCAATTTCACGGCGCTGCTAAGCACAAAAAAATTGCTCAGCACAAAAAAATGTCAGGCTTATAGAAGCAAGTTACCAGCCAAAACTCCATGTGATGTATATTGCTCGTGATTAGTATTCAGCTGTTGTTTGCTATAGCATTAAAATCACATGGAGTTTTGGCTGGTAAACTGCTCTTATAAGCCAGACATTTTTGTGCTAAGCAAATATTTTTTGCTTAGCAGCGCCGTGAAATTGGGCCCGGTGTCATATGAAAATCAGACTCGTATGAAAATCAGACTCTTTTTCCCTTTTATTGGTTAAACCCTCTCACGTGACTGGTCCCGCTCCTAATTACCGGTATCTATGCATGAGCATGCGCAATACCACCAATGAGTCCGTATTTCATAAAACCTAAATTCATGCTACACCGGCCTGACCTCTTGTGCCTTTAATGTTAATGAATTCATGCAACAAAGCACACCTTTAAGATGACTGCCCAATGCAGTCAATCTATTCTCTTGGATGGATTGTGCATCAAGCAGTTGTAAAAAAAAATTATGAATATCAGTGACGGGCAAAACCCATTGTAAATTTGTTTTATTTAAAGTGGTTCCTCCCAATTTAACTAACAATCCCACACATTGATATCTCCACATATTTTGATGTTTCCAGTGATGTAAGTAGTTTGCAGTTCAAGCAGTTTATTTGTCCTCTAAACATATTAGTACTGTATTTTGCGAAAGTGCACACATTCAACAACAACAAAAGTCTCATGTACATGTAAAGCATTCCAATGTGCAACATTGTGCAGGAATAACATTGATCTTGTTCATTATATAGACTGTTTCATTATCCTCCTGATACCACACATTTTTTCCCTGCACTTTGTGGGTAGAGCGCAAGCAACATCGTTCTTCTTTCCCTGTACGGCCTTGGTGTGAACTTGTGTTATCTACATGTAGTCCAAGGTCCAAATAATAAACAGCTAGGAACCTAGGGCAGTCAGACAGTGTGTAAGACCCCGTTCCCACTTGATCCACCAATTGGGGGATCTGATCCACCTTTTGCCAAATTGCCGGATCAGATCCCCCAATTGGTGGATCAGATGCGGCAATTGTGTGTAGTGGGAACGCTAACCGTTATAAGGTGGATCAGGATCAGATCCACCTTTTCTGATCCACCTCTGGACCAGGATACAGATCCCCCAATTGGTGGATCAGATCCGGCAATTGCCGGATCACGATCAGATGGGAACGCAAAAGGTGGATCTGATCCGGCAATTTGACCTGTTAACATCCGCCCGGTACACGAGTGGCGCGAAAATGTTGCGGTCTCATGAACGAAGAAACACGTTTTCAGGCGTGTGGCTCATGTGAACATTTCCAGCGTATACAACATGCACAATAAACAACCGCTGAACTACGGGCTAGCACTGCGCATGCAAAAGCGCACGTGGTATCCTAAAACTACACTATAGGCCTTATTTTTGTTGCGTGTTCGTCCATTACTAAACCTTTTTCATTCCTGACATTTTACTTATTTTTCCATCCATAAATGACTCTGAGTCCGCACTCACCAAAAGACTTCACTTTGGCACAGAATCATGGAAAAGCTTACGAGTATGCGATGAGAATAGTGTCGATAACGCGGTACGTACGGAGGTGACAAATCTGAAGTATTGATTATAGAAAATTGGAAAATGATGTCGTAGTACATCATGTGACCGTTTCTAACCAATGAGAAGCTTCAGAACCAGGGAATCCCTTATCGATGCATTGGTTTCTGCCGTGATGTCACACAATGAGCGGCTCTGTTGGCTTTCACCTGTTAATTTATGCACGCACGGATCCTCTATGGATCCGTGATTTATGTTGGTGAATTCGCGTAATTTTTGTCTGTGAATTCTGATAGTGCTGTTTGAAAACTGACCCATCCTGGCCTAGCGTGCAACCATGCAACAATGGCACTCCCACAGAGCGCGCGTAATTCCGAACTCAGTGATCTTTCGGACCCAACATTTCCGTACGAAAAGGTGGATCAAGCATAAGTGGGAACGCGACTTGCGGTTTCGTTGCGGTAAGATAACGATCACACCAAAATGCCGGATCTTGATCCACCTTTTTTCCAATTCAAGTGGGAACGCGGTGCAAGTACCTGGACAGATGTGGAGAGACCTGGGACTAATTCCCACTAATTCCACTGAGCTGTTCAGCACAGTAATGTGCTAAGAATATTTGCTTGGCAAACAGATTACAGGCAAAAATGTCATGCAGTGCATCTAAACACCGCAAAAAAAAGAAAGTCCCCACTCGTTAGAGGGATCATAATTTTAAACCTGATCATCTTATGATAACGTCACCTTTGGGAAATGTTGTTAGCTACATTTTGATACCCCGTTTGCTACCAAAGAAAAATGATGCAGATTTAAAAAGTTGCACATTTAAAGAGCACGCGAGTGGAAATTGCTGCGTGACAATGTCACACTACCCAAAACGAACGTCAGGGAATACCGATCGCACAGTGCTTGCATGCATGGGAGCACGGGACGTCATCATAAGATGATCAGATTCAAAATTATGACCTCTCCAATGAGCGTGGACTTTCTTTTTTTGCGAGGTTTTTAACAGTGTTGCTAGAAATCGGCTCTTAATCATAATCAAGGAAAGTAAACCAAGGTATATATGGAGCGCAAGCTACATGTACATGGAGCACTGTGGTCCAATGGTTACAGTGTTCGACTCATGTGCCGTATGTGGGTTCGGACCCTGGAGAACATGGGGCTTGCGTTCTTGGGCAAGACATTTTACTACAATTGTCTCTCAATCTCCACCCAGGAGTATAAATGGGTACGTTGTACCTGTGAAGGTAGAGACTAGAGACCAGAATGAGAAGCATGTATGTAAAATATGTACAAATGTAAATTTCATGCCTTTTGAGAAATGAAACTGTCATTAATGAGCATATAGAGACACGAACATACCGGTACAGGCGTTCCAGTTGTTTACTTTTGCGAGGAAATGAATCATGATAAAACATGTAAAACAGTTTTGTTTCTAATCAGCCCTATCATTTACGGTACACATTCCTTTGCAGGCATCTGTTCACATGATGTCAATGCTGCACACTCTCCTTGTCCTGTGGTTCAGCAATGTTTCATTATATACAAGAACAAGGAGTGACAAAAACATATTCAAACCACAACATTAAAACAGGTCATGTGGATTTCTGGCTTACTTTTTTTTGGGGGGGGGGGGGTGTCACACAGGTGCATGCTGTACATACATGTATACATGCATAAGTACACTGTTTTAGGACCCAATCACGGAAGATAAATTTACACGTTTACCTATATGGAGTTCTCTATTTATGTACAGTAGCTATTGATAAACAAAACCACACTCAGACTGGATTTTAGGCCTCACTTTTGCTTGCTTTATCAGAAATTTTCAACCAAAAAACTGGACCAATGACATGTGAGATGTAAATTTAACTCAACACAGACATTGACAAGCTGGGAAACCGCCAACATACATGTAGGGCTGGATAGCTCAGTTGGTAGAGCACCGATATAGTATTCTCGAGGTCGCAGGTTCAAACCCTGAACCAGTCGATTTCTTCGTTCAATGGCACTATCTTCATTACATTTTGATAACCTCCTGAATTTTTTTTTCACAGAACCTCCGTGACTCTTCCAAATTAATCACATGTAGTCATTGTACAAGTGCAATGTTAAACCCTAACCCCCTAGGCCTTTTTGCTAGGAACCATCCTCAATCCTCCAAAATCCTCCAAAATTTTACAAACAGCGCCTTAATTCTTCAAAATTTTCAGACAGTCCTGCCTCAAAATGCATTCATCCTCAATCCTCAAAAAATCCTCCTCATCCAAAAATGTTGCACTTATGTTCAAATGAAGGGTACCCAGCCCCTCAATCCTTCAAAATCGTCAGACAGTCCTGCCTCAAAATACCTTTCAGCCTCAATCCTCCAAAATCGTTATCTAAAAAATACCATTCAGCCTCAATCCCCCTAAATCCTCCAAAACCACAAGGAGGATTTTGGAGGATTGAGGAGGGTTAGGGATAATGTACGTCTGCAATGTTCCGTGGTATGTACCGGTACGTCTGCAATGTATTGATAAGGCCCCACATATAATAATAACAGTGGCTGTGCTGTACCATCCTCCATCCTAAACATTACGGTAGTTTCTACAAACCTCCAAGAATTGAAGGATGACGTCAGAAGGATTATGGCAAATTAATGAGAATTAAATTTGTGTTTGTGACGGAACTGATGACTTATCAGTCGTTCGATCATCTTGCAGATATTTCTTCTTTGGGACAAATCAAGAAAAACCTTCACACTAAGATTGACTCGACCCCTATTCAACCGCCATCAATATTGACAGAGTAAATACCACGCAGGGGGAAGGCATTTATTCCGTCGCCGTGACATTTAACAGCCTATTCAATCATTTCTTCTGCTGCTATTGTGGGAGATGATGTGAGAAGTGGACGCAGGGTGTCCTTATCCCCCACTCAAGTGGGCATTGATGGCCTGTAAGAATGGACAAAAGTAACGCTCTCCTTCATCCTTGAGAGACATCTAACGAGGATGACACTCAGCAACAATAAAATGACAGACTTTCATGTCTTCCCAAGGTCTCCTGTCTGGAACGAAAATGTCTCCATGGAGAATGTTGCCTTAAACCGATAATAAGGAAAAAAAACTGGGATACTTGCTAAGAATCAGTGGTTCACAAAACCAAAGACACGGTTACTTGAAATGGTTGTGGTTCAATGTTTAATGTTAACTTGGCCACCAAATAGTACAGAGAAATATGTATTTTGTAAATGGCACAAACTAATTCAGCGATAGCCGTTTTCTGAAATGGAAGCAGGATCGCGTGAGTCATCTTTAAAAATGCGTGCAGCTTGGGCCCGAATGTGGTTCCATCTCCCAAATGGCTTCTAATTTTTGTTCACCGCATTAGTCTATAAAACTAAAAACAAACTCCACCCTGTACAGTTTTGTGAATATTGAAGGATTTTTTTCTAACTCGTCCAAAATCCACTTTAGTTTAGATTTTTGCAGGTAGATTGTAAGCACTTGTACTTTGTAGGCAGGTCTGCAGTCCTGTTTCTATTATAAGTTGGTAAGAGATGCTGGTATATATTATCAATTCAGTTTTGAAATGTTTTTAGCATACCCAAAGAATATCTAGTGATGTTTAGGTGTACATAAATCTTTCTGACTTTAAATAATATGTATACATGGTTGCATGTACATTTACTTAAAGGTATAGTCCATCATTTGTAATTTGTGCATTTTGTTCGTTTGAAGCAACAAAAGTGCTCAATATCTGAAGAAGGATGCCGAACAACCAATCTGATGAAGTTTCAGCTTAGCTTCAGCTGCATTTTTTTAGAAAAACAACATTCTAGGATCTCGATTTCAAATCAAATGTTGCTGAATCATGTTTTGAATTGGGCATGAATCCAGCGTCCGAGACACGTTCTCACTAGCCGATTGCAGCTACGCGGTGCTGGGCACCGATCCGACCGAATTATAGCAACCACGCGCGTGTGTGTCGTGCCAATGCTTGCGCGCTTCACCGAATAACAAAACGAACTACTAATTTGAATTTTCTACGGTGCTTCTTGTTGGAAAGGCCTTCTTTCGTTGATTTCTTCAAAATGACAGCTTGTCAGAAAGAATAATTTCACAGGGAGTTTATTCCTCTTACTATCTTTCAACCAAGTACATTGTATGTTTTTCAACAATAATTACGCCAGTCACTTTTTGGATAGCTGCAAATGATGGACTCTGGCTTTAATGCATGTCAAGTAATACACAGTTGATGGAAGGTGGAACACAGTTGGATCACTTTATAAATTTGAGTCCACTTTTTTTCCTGTCCCTGTTACATCTGACATCTGTGGTTTTATAGGCCCAATTGTGAACCACTCCTTAATGCAGTCGTCATCCAAGAGTGATTATGAATAGAGAACTACCTACCCAACAAAAACAATTATTTGAAGTCATTCTTAGTGATACATGAATGGAAAATAACAAAGTACGAAGGTAACGGGGAAGGAAAATAACACAATTTGGACACGACACTAAATTTGTAGAATGACCCATCTTTCAATAATTAAACTTTCTAGCTGAAAATAATGAAGGGTCAATAAAACTGGCCTCCATGCACAAACACAAGATGGGAGTTTTTTCCACTTTCAAAAGCACAAGTCAGAGGGAAACCCGCGTGTGGTCGTACTAGTTTGCAAATGTATTTCGACAAAGCCATAATGTGCACAAAGCCTCAACATCTTCACATCAGCGTCAGGCGTCATTCGCAATGCACTCGAATGTCCCTCCCAACTCTTCCTTTGTAACCATTGAGGGGGTACTTGTCTACGGGGGGGCCCATAACAAAAGGTAGCGTAACGTACCTGGCCATGGAGGTATCGGACATCGCACTGCTCCCCATGCGCTGCAGCTGCTTCCTGCGACTCTGTAGCGCCCTCGTCTGGTTGGCCATGTTAATGATGTCCGTGTTGGTGAGTTTCTTCTCAAGCTTTTTGCCCCTGAGAGGTAAAAACATTGCCAGAGTCATGACTGTGAGATCGGCTGCGTTGGATCTTTGGAAGGTTTTCAATTTTGGGGGAAAATAACTACAATATACCATCGATGTACCATTAGCTTGGGAATATGTAGTTCTGACGGAAGCCAGCACTGTGGATGTACCCATTAGGGGCAGTACTAGCTTAGGCCAGTGTTGCGGCGTTTGCACGCCTACTTTCTAACTGGCAAATCAATGGTGTCTCTGCTGTATTTTTCACTGTTGAAGGGATACTGTATGCGCAAAGTCCATACAAAAGTTACACTAGGATTAGCAGTAAAAGTGAAAGATGCACAATGCAACATTGCTGACGGTACAAAATCAGTATCCACAATAAAAAAAATCATTTCTGAGGTGGTACCTTGCTCAAGCGCAAGTTGCACACTTTCTCCAAATATGAGGTACGCATTGCATTTTAGTACTTTGAAAACAAAAAACACCATTGGTCGGAGAAGCGTTGCACACCCTCCGGTAACCTATGTTAACTGTGGTCGCCGGATAAATCTATATGCAGCAAACATTACATACGTCTTGGAGTACGTACACATTTAAAAACTAACAAGACAAAAAGAACATGTAACAGAAAACGTCCTACATCCGTGAACCGGTTGCTGTGAAAACAATAATAATTAGACAGTAATCACTAGATGTGGAACCAGCTCTTGTGCAAGTTGTTTCAGGAACTGGCACAATAAGAAAACAAATACATGCTTATTGGAGCTCAAGTACTATCGTAACAGACAATAAGAGGCTATAGTCCTCTGCAGGGAGAAGCAATGAGTGACAAAGCGTCTTTGCCCAAGGTCACTCGCACCCCAACCCGAGGCTGGACTTGAACCCACAACCTGCAGAATTACCTGCAGACTATGAGTTCAATGCTCCAGACCACGAGGCAACGGCGCTCCACACAATGCTAGGTCCCACCTACTTTTGTTCTCTGGGCTAGTCTATAGGGGTGGGCACTGGCTTACCCTGGGCCTGTGACTTGATTTGTCTTGGCATCCTCGCCTTTGCTGGACCCAGTGACAGACTCAGCATCGTCACCAAGGTCACTCGCACCCCAACCCGAGGCTGGACTTGAACCCACAACCTGCAGAATTACCTGCAGACTATGAGTTCAATGCTCCAGACCACGAGGCAACGGCGCTCCACACAATGCTAGGTCCCACCTACTTTTGTTCTCTGGGCTAGTCTATAGGGGTGGGCACTGGCTTACCCTGGGCCTGTGACTTGATTTGTCTTGGCATCCTCGCCTTTGCTGGACCCAGTGACAGACTCAGCATCGGCGCCCAAGCCCAGATCATCATCCACGCTGCGTGTGCCGCGCTTTGGGGTACCTTGAAGAGAGAAGCAAAAATAATTGTCACAAGGAAACAATTTGGTTTGAAAAGGATCTCATAGCACACAGACAGTCATCTGTCACAGGCTGTGTTGTTCTTCACGCGCCAAACATAAACTCCAAAAAGGCTAAGAAAATACATCTGGTGGCAGAATGCCCATGAAGGAAATTGAAGAGGTGCAATGTTTGTCTTAATGTGCACGCACTTTTAGTGTTTACAATACAATAAACAATAGAAACTATGAGAAATGAATAATGAAACAGCCTGGTCTATACAAATGAAGAAGAACACACGCTATTTCAGATTTTTTTTAATTAACACTGTCGAAAGTCATAGACTTTACACTGACAGTGATTGGAATTCCTTGATAAATGAGATTTTGCTTTGAGATGCGAACGGCAAATAAGACGTTATCGTTAAATATCGACCACACGCGTGCGCCTGCATTGAACTTTGTGGAAGGCTGGTTTGATCAAGAGGGCATTCACATTGTGTACATTGTACGTATAAAAATGAGAGCTTTCCTGTTTATTTTTCACACAGAAAATGCACACGAACAATGTACAAGGGAGAATGAATATAACAAGATGAGGGAAACCCTATTAAAACTGGTCCCAGACTGATTTGGTGTAACAGGTCTAAATAGTCATTTAAGTAATTTTTTTTTACATTGAGTCAGTGAGTCACCGAGTCAGCCAGTAAATAGAGAAATGAAGGCCAGCCCCCTAGAACCAGCACTTAATTCACTTTATACAACACCTGAATAAATCCCCGTCATCTGATTGGAGGATCGTTGATCACATGTCATTGAATTATTCGTACCAACGCACGGCGCGCACGTGGCGCACAGCGCACAGTGCAATGGAAGTTCTATTGCACTGTGAATAGAACTTCCATTGCACGCTGTCACTGCTGCTGGTGGTGACGCTGTTTTAAATCGAGATAAATTGATAAATTGAATATGATTGTTCTCAACCTGTCCAATAGTTTGCATTAATATAAATATGATGAACTTGTCGAACTTTTAAACAGTTTTCAACCTGAATAAATTGGCTATTACAAGTCAACCAATCAGATGACAAGGATAATGAATGTTTCACGTTCGTGCAATGGAAAGAATAATTTCATTCGGTGACAGATGAAATGTTCCATCTGTCACCTCATGAAATTATTCTTACCATTGCACTCACAAACATTCATTATTTGTATACTAACCAATATAGATCTTACAAGAGGCAAACGGATGGTCCCTTTTCGAATAATTTAGTATCTGATTATTCGGAACTGCATTTCACCGAATATTCGTTTATTCAAAACTCAATCAAGTTTTACTCTCGCCAGCTGCATCTGCGTGTCGCGTCTGTCGAAAGTTGCACCTAAAACGTGGCGGTTAATTTTGCGTGCAGCAATCAATATTATGGACTGCTGGAGTGTTTTACATTAAGTATTTGAAGTACCGATATTTTATAAGAGTCTAGGGCTTTAACCTGCTAAAAGTACGGGAACAATGATCCACCAGACCAAAAAAGTGGCATGTGACAATAAAGTGTACAATGTAGCAACTTAACGATTAAAAAAACATCACAGTCATGTGTGCATGTGCGTAGGTGTTTTTTTTTCAAAACCGGCAAAAACTATTCGAATGTTCGTTTGACAATCGAATATTCGGTATATTCTGGGAAGCCCAAAAGGCAAAAAAGAGATCCTGAGTATTTCCTCAGACATGTCAGAAGAGGTCTCAGTACTTATTTGAAATAGTTTATTATTTAAATAACACAGCTTGAAGACAAGGCCAAACAAAACATACTTCTGCTTCCGATTACATGGCATTTGAAAATAGGGTAGGTAGTTAGAGAATTCTTTTGGGGGACACTTTTTTTGTGAGTACGATCATATGGAGGTGTCTGCGTGTAGTCAAGAATAAAAGGTAGTAATTGATGATTCCTAGGTTTTTTTCTTCATTCCCCCCCCCCCCAAAAAAAATTACATGTAGGGTAGGGGCTGTCAAAATTGGGTAGGTAGGGTAACCGGAAGCATAATTTTTTTTTTTTTTTTGACCAAGTCATTTAGATGTCTATTTTATTTACTTTTTTTTAAGTAGAAAAATTCTATCATCTGGTGGCACAACTGAGGAAACATTTATGTAATTACTGTACATGTAAGAATGATTGATTTTTTTTAACACAGTTATATGCATGACCAAAGAGGAGTTGGACTGCTTGTTTAAGGCGCCAGTATCATTGCTCGTATTGTACATTTTGACCACCTGATATCTTTTTTTTGAGGGGATGGAGGATGTGCGTTTTTCAGTATTTTTTTGTGGGTGGTGAGGGGGTTGTTTTATGCGGGTATAGGACTTCACTGCGTTATGGAGAAGTTTTTTATTGTTAGGCAAATTAGGACTGAGTTACAATGTATGGGGACTTTCTACTGTCCCCCCCCCCCCCCCCCCCAGTATTTTCGGTCCCCAAAAGTACATGTACCTCGTACAGAAGAGTGTATGCCCCCACAACTACGGAACAAGAATGCATGTTCTGGTGGGGAGCCTTGAATTTGTATTTTATTTTGTTTGCTTTTTATGGGGGTATTTTTATTTTTTACCCCCTATTGCTACAGTGAAGCTTACCATTGCCTTGATCAGAGATCTTCCTGCTGGCACTAGCAAATGGCAGGTTACCGGTGCTACGTCGGCGTTCCCCATTGGTCTGTCCAGGGATCAGCGTGGCGTCCAAGTCCTCCTGACCGTCGATGGAGTCCACCCAGTGCTGGATGCTGTCCCGACTGGAAGAGGTGGACAGCTGGGAACAGGAGAAGGTGGAATCTATCCAAAACAATGAATTAAAAAGGAAAGAGTCTGAAAGTCAGAATGGGTGTTGTCAAAAAACACAAAACAAAGTCCCTAATAGCCTTGGGCAATTCCAAAATTATGGGAATCGATTCTGACGGATTCCGACACTGCCCCCCCCCCCCTCTCCCTCTCCCTCCCCCGGCAAAATATCCTTTAAAAAAAATTGTGCCTTGCCAACATTGAAACTATTTAAAAGAGAATTCTACCGCCCGAAACTCCCTGTTTGTAAACACCCAGGATTTAACAATGCCCATTACTGATAATGACAAATAAAAATTCCACTAACAGGACAGAAACAATTAGGGAACAGCCAATGCTCAATGGGGCCAATTATAAATTAATAACAAAATCTTTGTTGGTAAACATGTGGCTACATGTACGTTAGTGTCCTGCACAGAATGAAGTAAAGGGACAATGAGTGAACTGTGCGAACATGCACAATCACTTTGATGAAAATATTATTGTACTGAACGAGTTAGTTCAACACGTCATGCAAAACAGATGTTCTATCAGGAAATTAGTCTTCCTCTTACAATGTATTTAATAAAAACCCACATTCTGCAAAAAATTTCACAAAAACCAAAATCACAAGTTGAAATAAAGTGTTGAAGTCTGGAACTGGAAAATTCATTCAGTTCTAACTATTTTGTTGAAAATAAATGTTGGATTTATTTTATTGGGGGTTCAGTTTTTTTCTTTAACCCTTCTATGCTAACACACATTCTGGCAAAGTTGTCCTTTCAGTTAAAATCAATCACATGACTGCTTTCAACAGTTAAGACTAAAGAGCTCCTGAAGCAGGATTGACTGGCTGTGACTGTCTATGTAACTTTAAGGCCTTTTCACACTGTCAAAAATCTCCGGGTTGGAACCGGTTCCAACCCCGCGATTTTTGTCAACCCTTTTCCCACTTCTAACATTTCAACCCGGTTCCGACCCGGGTAGCGTGCTCTAGCTGGATCGAAATCAACCCTGGGAGGGACCAGGGTTGAAAAACTCAACCCGGATCGAAATTGCATTTTTCGGCCTGAACCGTGTCGAAAATGATTGTGTGAACCGCCCCGGGTTGAGTCACTCACGGCCGATCCGTGTTGAGTTGAGGCCGACATTTTACCGAAAATCTGACACGCCATGCATAATATTTCCCTCCACCACTATCGCCGTCACAAACACCGATCACGAAACAATTGCTCCCTAATTATCATCCAATAATGTATCGGTGTATGGAGCATCCTTTACCGAGTCTGGGCTTGTATTAGGTCTGCAAAATGTACCCCAAAAAAGTACATTTCTAATGTTAAATAGAACGAATCGTCTAACGAAATGACCGGAGCCATTTTGGAAATATTGCACACAGCTGCACTGGTGTCGTACAAAAATCGGACTCCCGAATCGGATTCGTTTACTCTCTTATTATTGGTCAAACCCTTTCACGTGACAGGTCCTTCTCCTAATAGGCATGCGCAATACTACCAATGAGTCCGTATTTCACAGAGTAGTAAATTCACGCTGAACACTGGCCTGTCCGTAAGCCTCGTGCGCGCAGCAGCTGCGTGCGTCGCAATGCATTATGGGATTGAGAAAATCATCGCAGCGCCCTGTGCCGAATGCGATCCGTGTCGAGAATTTGTAGTGTGAATTCACAGGGGTCGTAGCCGGATTGAACGTTACACGGTTCACGTAGCGGCCGTTCCCGTAGCGGCCGTTCCTGTAAAGGACAGTGTGAATGTCGCGTCTCTCCGATCCGTGTCGAAAAATACTCGGGCTGAACCGGGTTGGATCCGGGTAGGTTTCAACACGGTTCGAAACGGAGATAGTGTGAAAAGGCCTTTATACTGCTACATGTATGCTTTAAATCCAGGTGACTGACAAGCCAGCTGTGCATGCCTACCACTTGTCTGTTTTTGTCTGCTGACTGAATTTGACTAGTCATCGTACTTGCTTAAAATATAATGTGCTGTTGGTGACTAGCTTGTGTAAAAGGCATGGCAGGGGAAGACTTGAATTTTGTTTTACTGTCTGTGACAGTTCAGACAGCTGTAGAGTTTATTTTTCTCACACCGTTATGAAGTACAGTCTGAGAGAAAGCTAAATCCCCTGTTATTCACATAGTTTTGCTGCAACATACAAACTTATACCCACAGGCCCTACATACATTGTAAATACAAAAGCTTATTAAACAGACCCAATTTTGTTTTTAAATACACGATCCTTAAAAAATTTCCTTTAAACAAATCTTTAAAGCTTGATTTTCTTCCAATACGCAATTTTTACCACCAAAAACAGTTTCACTTGGATGCCTCTTTCTAGTTAAGCACTGCATGGCCTTTGTACTGTATGTATGTTGGGTGTGCAGGTGTGTTTACTATGGCACGCAAACTTCCACAGCCTTGTCATGCTTGTGTACACATACATTTGTACCATAAGTCCATTATTTTCGGAAGTCAAAAAGTAACCTTTCATGCTACAGTGGAATCTGCCTGACACATCTCTGAAAAGCACTGATGTAAACACAATTTCTCCATTACCTTTACTGTTTACAACAACAAGATCTTATTTTTACCATACGGGTACATGTACATGTGCACTTAAATTTCACATCAAGTACAATGCATATTCCTACATGTTGTTTGAAAGCTACAAAAGGAAAGATAAAGTCTGTACATGTACACTAATGGCAAGTTATCTCAGTTTTTTTTCTATATTTTCAAGTAGTTTTTTATTTTGCGTCATCAGGTCCATTATCACTTTCTGTATCAGTCTCAGGGGGAGTGGTCTGAAAGTTCAACAGCTATTTGGACAGAAGGTGAATAAACCTGAATGCATTCATCTTGAAGTAAATGTACAAACACGTACATTTGTACATTGTACACTTTAGGCCTACGTCTTTCTCCAAATGTCACCATTTGAACATTTCTGTAATCCAGTTTATTTCTAATACAGGTAGACTGTATTCACAACTTGGGGCTTTCATTTGGAGCCACTACACACATTCACCATTACCTTCCCAAATCCTTCCAAATCCTCTTTGCAAATTGAAGGATTATGTAGGATGATTTTAGAGGATGTACATGTACTGTGTCAAGATCTTGGGCTGGACGTACTGGCACTTTCTGTTGTTTCTGCTCAGCTGTGCATAAATGTAGGCCCAGATTATACTCGAAATCCTCCGCACTGCTCCAAGAAGTCACTGGCTCTGCCTCATCATATTGACAGTGATTGGTGGTGGATTTTGCAGGATTGAGGCAGTGGTCACCCCTCCAAGGACCACATTCAAGAAATAACGGAGGAGTTCAAATGCAGGAAAGAGGTTGTGTGCATTTTTTACATGGAGGCAGTTGGAGGATTTTGCAAGACTGAGGTTACATCCTACCAAAAATGCCTAGAGGGTATCATGGTTAAGATTTTGACAACACTGTATGAATTCAATGATTTAATACTGCTGGTACCCAAACAAACTTAAAGTGTGGTTTACAAATTATTTCCTTGGGACATACATGTACATGTAGGCCCCTATTTCCCTTAAAATACAGGGATGTTAGTCAGCCATATTAGTCTGAAATTGAGGTGAAAAAGAAACGCACAAACATGAAGACCTATAATGTCAGGAATGGAATAATATGGTTTCAAACTGGTTAGCTGTGTTTAGGGGACTGCGTGGTCAACATCAGGGTCATTATCGGTGCCCAGGCCCTTAGCTGGTAACAAACCAGACATTTTAAAAATACTCAACCACAGTATTAAACCCATTCATAAAAACACTATGAATGATGCTTGTAGAACTCTTAGACTGTACATTAGCCATTTCAGTAGGGGCAGGGGAGATCATTGCCATAGTTTTGCAAAAAAAAAGTTGCAGTGCAACCCGATCCTTCTGAGTCATTATTCCCTCCTTCGAGGTTTGAAACTAAGTCACGGTAGAAATCTATGGAATAATAACAGCATTGCAACCCTACGAACAAAAACTCATCGGTTTAAAAATAGCCAATCCCTTACTACATCAGTCTTTTAAATTCTCAGTAACCTTGGCCAAATCAACCTGTATAACGTGTTTTAGAGTGGTTTCATTGTGTAAATGGTAGTTACCAAATGTTCTTTTGCAATTTTTACTGCTATGTTTACAATTTTTGTTTAAAGTTTAACTTAACTGTTGAAGTTAATATTGCGTATTACCGGTATGTCCACTTTTAAATGTATGTTAATGTTTTATCTTTGTTACCATGTGCAATACAAGGCTGTAAGACATTGAACTTTTTTAATAAACCAGAATAACAATAATAACGTTCGACAAAATTCCAACCATGTTCTGTTCAACCATCTTACACCATGTTGCAAGCCAGGTGTGCGTCGTGCGCGCGTGGATTGCTCAACATCTTCTCCACATGTGGAGATCATATCAGTGGTAGGTATACCGGTACATGTTTGCGGCGCATACTGCAAGCATGTGTTTAAACAGCAGTTTGATACAGCCCACATGACTGACTCTCGACCAATAGGCTTTTGTAAATGGTCTCAGCTATTTAAAATTGGTAAATAGTCTCAAATCAGGCAATTACAAGACAGTAGGACTTGCATCCCTTGAAATAAGACAAGATACAGCTACATTCTTGCTGCCGCAGGAAGGAATGAAAGTGCAATTCACCTGCTGCTGTCGTGTGTTATTAGCTCTCCGATGGAGAGAAAAAATGATGAGGACATTCAGGCCTGAAGGTTGTGTACAATGTACAAACGTGTACACGTATGTTTGTGCTGGTGAGAAAGACCAGGGTGACTGTAAGGTCATAGCCAAACCCTGCTAAATGTAATTCAAAAATCTGTCAGATTTGTCAAAAATCTGCCAAATTCCCCAGAATTACTCGGACTACACTATAAACACTTAAAATCACATGCAGATGTTGTAGTATTTGCCTTGATTAAGGTTCAAAGTAAATTATAAAGAATCTATAGCACATACATGTAAAGATGTTATGAAAATGCGTAAATTTCAGGCAAAACGCGGTTGCGTCACGACAAAGTCCCCTTCCCAGTGAACCTCAGCACATAGACCAGCCCACCTGTCCCATTATGAAAGGGTTTGTTTGAAAAGATTGAAGCTTTTTTTTTTTTTTAAAAGTACCATTTTTTTTAATTTGCTATGTTTTTTGTCAAATAACCATTTTTGCAGAATTCTGCTAGAAATCTGCCCAAAAAATCTGTTCTGTCAATTTTTCTGTCAAACTCGTATTTTAACAAAAACATCTGTCAAAGTTAGCCGAAAATCGGCTAAAACGGTCACCCTGGAGGAGACTGTGGGACTTGGCAGGAGATCAAAATGGCACAGCTTGAAAGACAATATCACAGGAAAAGTGCATGACACGTATGCAGATCTTTCTTAGAATCAGACACGTCACAAAAAGATGGAATTTCCAAGCTTGACAATACTCTCATCAGTGTTTCTATAAATTTGTAATGACATAAAAACATGACAAACGAAGGGAGTAACAGAAGAATCAATTAGCTGGTCCAAGAAACAATGCATAATATGCCTGCTTTTGCAAAAATGTAGCCATCGGGTATCCGATTTGTTTTTCCTATTAAAAATTTTTTTTTTTCCACAAGGACAAATATGTATGGTTACTACGGTACGTTCGAAAAGGCATGAAAATGTATGCACGATAAATGTTTAACAGCATGTTTTTTTTTTATGAAGGCCAAGTCTTGTCACTTCAACTTACAGTCAGAGCTGTATAATCAGGAAAAAAAAGTATATTAGAAGAAATGTAATTTGAACACAAACTTTCTATGAATTCATATTGAATTCCTGAATTTAAATACCGTCATGTGGTTGCCACATTACGGGTGGTGTATCAACTTCCACAATTCCTTTTGATGGATGAATGAGCTCATCATTATTCAATTTCAAAACAAGTACCGGTACATTGTACATCCCTTGCTAAGTCAGTTTGTCATATCCTTGCATAAATTGTACATATACGTACATCATAGGCTAATGTTGTTCAATTAACATACAATCCACTATGATGCCCTTTTTTTTTAGGCAACTCATCTCATCACTGAGTCAGGCCAATTAAAGAGTTTCTGTATTTTTTTCCAAAACTATATTAGGAAGAAAGTCACAAAGATATAAACCAGCTAAAGGATTCCACCATACTGACAGTTTTCAAGTTCAAAACTTAGAAATACTGATTGTTGTTTTTTCTTTATACGTTTTAATATGGAAACACCATAAAACTCAGCAATTTACACAATGTACATGTACATGTAAACATTAACATTTAAGTCAATTTATCAAAATTATGTAAACACTGCTGTATTTTTAAAGTTGATCAAAACATGCCAGTGCTTCTTGTGCAGTTCAGAGACTTCCAGTGGTCCTCTCCTCCCGAGTTTTCCCTGAAATTTCCCCGTGTAATTTCCAAAATTCCATGAGAAATATTTTTACTTTAACTTTGTTACCGGTACTACCGGTAGGAAGTCACAAAGTAATATTCACACTGCATCTAACCACTAAAAAGCCACCATTAGCCAGTCAGTCAATGAACACGACTTGGACACATGGAACAAGATGACATACATGTACACTGTACATGTATGCCAAACTGACGAAACGGTCACTGTTAAGTTCCCTGAGTTTTTCCCGGATTTTTTGTGTTTTTTTCCCCTGCTTTCCAGAGTGGGTGAAAGCCCAGACATCCCAAATACTGACTATACACAATCCACCGTGTTCACACGTCTGAGGATTATCACCCATGTTTGCTTAAAACACCTGTAAATTTGTTATTTTACTCGCAACTGTAGAGTAGAAAAAACACTTGTGATACTTTTTGCGGAAGTCCCATGTGAGACTCAGCTGAATAATACACACATGCTGTGCATTCAACTCTGTTATGCACATTATAATTGATGTTTGATAATCGTCACAGTGTAAAAAGCAGAAATGTATGTCAGCCTTTATACATGTACAACTAAAAAAAATCTAAAATGTAATATACATTTGTGTAGTATAAAATGTTTTTAAAATTCACTTGAAAAGAAAATTCTGATGAATAAATATTGAGATCTAAAAATGGCTTTTATAATGTGTATTCAAAGTAAAAAGGTTTAAAGGTACTGGTATATATGTACATGAAGGATCTCAAAAGTACCTACCGAAGTATAAAAAAACTGGCTTTGATTAAAGATCATACCGGTACTAAACACCCCGTGAAAATATTCCATCTGGCTTGCTGTCATTTAGAATATCAAGAAACGTGGTTTCCAACGATCAGTTGATTGACTAATTTTTGGAAAGAAAAAATGCTATGGACAAAATCATGTTTTAAAAAGTTGTGTATGGTTTTTCACTGTTTTCTTGAAAAGTGTAAATTATCTACTGAGCTGAAACTTCAACAGGTTAGGTTTCAGACACTCGTGACCGTATTTGGATTCTGAGTGGTGTTATTATTTGCAACAAACAAAATGCATGACAAGCAAATGATCTTGTATCTGCCTTTAAAAATAATATAAACTCCTGTATAAATACGTGAATATAAATTGTATAGGCCTACATATCGTCACTGACACCACGAAGTAACACCCATCTACATACCAGTAAAAACTAGCAATCGGAGAAAACGGCTACTAAAGTTGAACGCCTCCTAAAACAACAATTTGCGTCAAAACGACAGAGTATTTTCAGTTGGATTTCTCGTTGTGGACACTTGATGAATTAAATTTATTAAATCTGCTGTTTTTCACCTGTTTGTGTATTAAATAAACAAGAAATAAGAAAAAAAAGATGAGTGTTAGTTTGTGAAACCGAAAAGGCTGCGAAACTGTAAATTTTCGTTTTCACGAAGTAACACTCTTCAATGTATTCAACACGAGGAAAGTTCAACTTCAGGTCAGCGCACGCGCCCGCTCATACATGTACAACTTATTACAAGAAGAGTGTTACTTTGTGAAAAAGTTTTTGCTCACTTACATGTATGAGCAGAGTGCGCGCCATGCATTGCAATAGTAAATGGAACTTGAGTGTTACTTCATGAAAACGAAAATTGTCACTTTTGCGTAAAAGTTGCCATGGATACTTAACGTAATTATTAAAGTAAAGCTGTTGAAGCTTTGAAACTTCGTGCAATGGTAGGCCTTGATGAATGTTTAAAAATAAAAAAAAATGAAAATCGAAAAAAAATGGTTTAACACGGTAGAGTGTTACTTCGTGGTGTCGGTGACGATATGTGTCTTATGCAAGTTTGTAAGGTACAAAAAGATACATATTGTACTTACCGGAACTGACCGTGGTTATCCTTTGCCGTGGTGCAACTCCATCACTGGACCTTATCTCCCACGGTAAACGCTCACAACCAGTCGACCACAAACGCCTGCGTTTAGGATCCTGCATGCGTCCGCCCTCGCCAGGGAGTGGTTTTGTAGACGGCAGTCCATGCACGTAATCGGCAACTCGCTTCTTCCAAGACCGCTGCGTGCTGTCCAGCTCTTGCAGTCGACTGTTGATAATTTTGGCTTTTTCTTCCTCTGAGGCGGGCAGCGCGAACACCTCGCCCGTGTCTGAGGCCATCGGCAACGAATGGCCAAATGTCCGGCCGGAGTTGCTGGTCTGCTCCGAGTCCATACGACCGTGGTGCCGGTGCGTGTCGATCATTGTGGCGCTGCGAGGCCGCGTCACATAACCGTCCACCAGTTCAGCTGCTGCACCAGCAGCATGACCAATGCCGCTGCTATTCCAGTGCTGCTCTGTAGTACTGTAAGCCTGGGCTAGCGCTCGTATGGAGTCCAGATATTCACTCTGTGATTGTACCCTGATGGGCAGGGAATTGGAGCGGCTTCGCCCAATGACCGGGCCCAGACTAATCCTTTCATCTGTGCTGCTACCTGATGAGCCTATTGAAGCCGTGAAGAGCCGACTGCTTCTGCCTGTGTCGTTTCCAGTCACACCTGATCGAATGAAGCCACAGACGCATTATCAAACATCATTAACATGGCTTATCAACTCACGCCCAGTAATACTGACACAGCAACAGGAAACATATTAACACAGGCTCAGAATGTATTACGTAACATAAGAAAACATGACATTTGCAGTTGTAAAATATCACCGATACTTTTATCTTAGTCAATATTAGGCACAGGACTGCGACTGATGTGTTAGCAGAGTAAAGTTCAATGCAGATATGTGTACAGGTTTGCGTAGGCAGGACCTCGGATGCAAAGCTACTGTACAGACCTGTTTGAATGCTGCACAGTAAGAGATGCTGGTGGCAGGCTGGTCACGTACAGAGAAGATGGAACGTAGAGTCTCTGAGCCTCAAACTTTAATGGGAATGGACAATGCCTAGGAATGCGGGTGAACATGCACCAGGACTGCCAGCCTGACTTCATAAAAAACTCATTATCCCCTTAAGTAATTATCCTCCTCCACACGTCATGCATGATTAGTGTCAATTGTAAGTTTGAAAGCAAAATTTGACTGACTTAATATCAAAAGATGATGAAAGAAAAACAGTTACTGAAATACTTCACTGAATGCAGTGTACATGCATACATGTATGTGCATGTAATTTGATTTGAGATGTTAATTAATGTTTTGCATGACATTTACTACTCACTGCAAAGGATGAGGCAATAATTTACATACATGTACAATTGTAGGCCTACCAGTACATGCATACATGTTACTTGCATACAAAATGACTGTTTTGTTTGATGTATAAATTTTGTACATTTTATGTATGGTTCACCATGAATATTTGGTTAACATTGATTTTTGGAAGGAAGGGGGCAACATCAAAACATGTGCATCAAATTCAGAAATTTGATTGAAAATAGAATGAAGTCTTTGCACAAGATCTGGCACATTCTGGTAAACAAATGTATCCATGATGTACATTGTAATGGTAATGTTTAGGATGATAACTTTTAACTATGTACGCATATAATATGAATTTCAAGGATGCATGGCCTGTCATGCGAGATGAGCATAAAGTCAGAAATTGCCATTTTGCAGTACTGTGGGGCAAAGCCTAAATTTGAAGGGGTGGTTGATTTTTTGCATTTACATGTAGGTGAACCTCAATCTGTAAGTCCTGTACTACCTTTTCCATTTGTGTTTGATAGATCACACATCTTTAAAATCTATTTCCCTCTCATTTTATCAGCTGGATTTTTTAAATGACATTTTCTCACACACATTATTTTTGTTTTCAGTGTAGAAAGCTCTTGTTCTGCAGAATCCGGAAATATCTCAATTCTTAAAAAGTCTGACTTTATATGCTCAAATTTTACGGTGCCATGTCACATATGAACTAGTTATTTACATATGTTCATGTGACATGAAGATGTACATTTGTACATGGTCTGAATAAAATATCTGGGCTATTTAGTCAACAAACATGACAGCCCCAAAGAAATAAATAAAAATGCTGGTACCTAAATGCCTAGAAAATATCCAGGCTACATGATTGTGTGTCCTATGTGTGGGCAGGTCCGCACTGCAATTAGAAATACCGTTCAAACATCATTATGGAAGTTTTGATTGGAGAAAAAAATAATGACATTTAGATGTACGCTGTACATTGTAAGTGTAACTACATGCATACATGAGAAGATAAGGGCTAGGCTTGTCTAGTTAAGCTGGACCCAAAGGCCCCAGTTATGGACATCATTTATTCTACATTGTGCATGTAGGTTAGTTTGTCAGTTGGTTGGTGCTGGGGAGTCTATCAGTCGGGGAGTCAGTTTAATAGTCAGTCAGTCAGTCCTAGAGGTGTGCAAAAATATGGGTGTATCTGGGTATCCAGGTACCCGCTCAAGAAACCCAGAGCCAAAAAGCTGCTGTTCAGATTGTTTAAAAGGTCCACACAATAACACTAGATCGGTGCGTCGATCAGCAAAACGCAAGTGTGTACACTGTACATTGAGTTTTATAGCTTTACGGTGAAACTGCAACTTTCTGGAGCATCAGTAATGTGAAATCTGTTTTGTTTTCCATGTAGCCTGGTTTACATTTTAAAAATTCCCGACAAATGACATCCAAAACCTTTCTTTTGCATTAATTGTCTCAGAAGTTACAAAGCAACTTGCCAAGTTGGTTAAAGGTACAAAAATTTGAACATAATCTTGAACCGGTTCCTACCTGTCATCAGTGGTCGGTCAAGTACTCGGGTACCTGGCTCAGATACACAGCCCTATAGTCAGTCAGCCAGCAAAAATACAGAACCCAATAAAAACCCTCTTTAAACCCCCCTTGTGAAGCAAACAGAGGAATACCTGGTGCAAAATTAGCATTGAGTCAGCGTTTGCAAACTTCCCTGGGGCTCTGTAAAACATTCCTCCATTACGGATGCAGATGACAGTAATGGAAGGTGAATCATTTGGATTCAGGAAAATCGGGAGGGGCAGCGCGGAAGCCTCACAAGGGGGCCGAAAGAAAGTCATTGTTGAGCGGACTCCTGAGTCCTGAGGCGGGCTGTTCCAGGGGGGCCTGAGCAGGGTCTTGCCTTCCAGGGGCCAATATGTTAAACCTGCAAACTGTCATGCAGTGTGTACAAGTTGTGAGTTGCGCTGATGATGAGCTCATTTTCAGCAGAATATATTAATTTTCACACCAAGTTCTGTTGCACAGCTGTTCTATGACACACATGCATGCACATGTACCATGTAGGTACATGTACAATTCAAACATAATGTGACAGTCTGCCAAGTGTCTACATGTAGCTACACATGGATGAGAAGATACATACAACTTTCACTTTGAAAAACACATTACCAGCCAAATTTTTCATGTGACCTGTTCCATTTGAGACTGTGCTATACTCTCTTATTTCTGAAGAATGAAACTAAAGAGCGAAACTAAAGACCAGACCAATTTGAAAGTGAAAATCATCCTAATTTTACTCAGAAAAGTGTAATTCCAGTAGAAACTCGAGTGAAAACTTGATCTATTCGCTTGAATGAATTTCTCTCTAAAACGTCTGGTAACTAGTTTCAATTGGTGGGAGTGAATTTGCACTCAAAAAGATTAAATTTTCACTCTCTGGAAATTAACGAGGGTAATATAGACATCTTATTCAAAACAGACTATGCCACCAAAAAATTTTCCTAGAAGGGGACCAACATTTTCACTATAAAATAGGAATGTGTGTAACGCTTAAAGGTACATGTATAGTCCATCATTTGTAAGTTGTGCATTTTGTCGTTTGAAGCAACAAAAGTGCTCAAAATCTAAAGAAGGGTACTGAACAACTAAGCTGATGAAGTTTCAGCTCAGCTTCAACAGTATATTCCGAGAAAAACAGCATTCTAAGATTTAGATTTCAAATCAAAAGTTGCTCAATCATGTTTTGAATTGGGACTGAATTCAGCGTCCGAGACACGTTCTCACTGAGCCGATTGCTGCTACGCGATGTCGCGCACCGTTCCGACGAATTATAGCAACCACGCGCACGTGGGCGTCGTGACAATGCTTGCACGCGCTTCGCCGAATAAAACAACGAACTACTTGGAAAGGCCTTCTTTCATTGATTTCTTCAAAATAACAGCTAGTCTTGCAAGAAAGAATAATTTCAGGGAGTTTAGTCCCCTTACTATCTTTCAACCAAGCATGTTTTTCAACTATAGTTACTTTTTGGAAAGCTGCAAAAGATGGACTATAGCTTTAATTTACCCCGGACTTCATCCCGCAGCTTTGTTTCATATCAGACACTACACATGTACGTCACTCATTTTAGACATCTATATTTGGAATGTGGATGGATGTCTAATCTTCGTACAGTATGTAAGTCCTGTTGTTCACCCTACTGACAATTTGTACAGAACAAAAGTGTTTCAGGCGTTCTTTAGTCATAATGTTGTTAACTTTATACTTGATTTCCAGCGTGTGTATTGTCCTGCAGTTAGTGACCTGTCCTACTGTATATTATGAACGTACATGCAATAACACACACAAATGCATTTAATCGTCTCTATTCACAGAACCACGTTCCAACTTATAATCCGGCGCAGCAAGCAAAAATAAAATGTAAAAACTGCCAAGTTATTGCTGCCTACTGCAAAGTGAATTTTTAATTGTGGGAATCAAACAAATAGATGCAAGGTGAGATCAAGAACCTTTTTTTTGGGGGGGGGGGGGCTCCAGGGTGGACTTCATTTGATGCAAGGAGACACTCTTTTTCCCCTCCGCTCCCATCCTCCCCAACTCCCTAAAAATCTTTCCTCCCATTTCGGTGAATTTTGGGGGACTTGGTCCTGCAGGCCTGGTTTGACTAAATATTGATGGAGTATGATGGACTTGGGCATTGGAAGCAGTGTGATTGATGGTTTTTGGCGGACTCGGTAGTAATAAACAGTAGGGAGTTAGGGTTAACAAGTTACAATCCATAGAGAGAAAGAAGATGAGAAGCACTGAATAAAAACAAAATTCCTACTCATCCCCTTTAAAAATATATTGACTTTTTGTGATGGGGGGGGGGGGCAGAGGAGATATCGTCTTTTTCCTATGACTTTTCTTCATAATCTAACTTCTGCATCACTTCTGGTGAGCCAAAGTGAGCATTTTAAATTTTCTGGCAACATGATTTCTTGGCTTACCTGGAGAGTGCCATCTTTCCATGCCTTGAAGCATCTAATCTTCACAGTTTGAAAACTGTAACAAACAAAAGCATAAATGCAATATATAGTACATGCAGCATGCACACATACATGTAAACACAAAATGACACCAACAAGAAAACAGTACAAAACAGTATACTTTAACCATGTTAACAAGTAAAGATAGAGTACATCATTTGCAGCTATTCCAACAGTAACTAACACAATTACTGTTGAAAACATACTTGGTTCAAAGATTGCAATTGGTATTAAACTCCCCGTGAAATTATTCTTTCTGGCATGCTGTCATTTTGAAGAAAACAAAATATAAGAAGGCCTTTTCCAACCATGCGTCTAAAGATGCATTTTTGGAAATTTCCGTTAGTAGTTTGTTCTTTATCGGCGAAGTCACGAATGAGTGCGTGCAAGCATTGACACGACACAAACACGCGCATAGTTGCTATTTTTTGTGACAGTTCAGCGCGTGACATTGCGTACCAGTAGCTGCAATGAGAACACATGTCCCGGACGCTGATTTCGGGCGCAATTCAAAACATGACTCTGCAACTTTTGAATTGAAATCCGGATCCTCGAATGTTTTCTCGGAATGTACAGCATTCACTGAGCAGAAGGTTCATCAGGTTAGTTAATTTGTTAAGCACCCTTCTTTAGATTTTCAGCACTTTTGTCGAGCACTACAAACGGAAAAAATGAACAAATGACAAATGATGTACATGTACTCTACCTTTAACAAAACAAAACAAAATAAAAACAAAACAAAATAAAAACAAAACAAAAAGACCTCAACATGTAATTCAACAAAACCAAAGCTGAATCTTTAACAAAATAAAAAGGATAGCTTAGTTGGTAAGAGCAATGGAACGGTTTTATATCCGGAGTTCGCAGGTTCAAGCCCCGCTCCAGTCAATTTTTTCGTTCAACTTTTGAACTTTTCAAAAAGGAAACCAAAAATGAAACCCATCCAACCAGACTTATCAAAATCCGTATTATTGGGATTTTATGTCCCAGTTTATGCTCCAAATTGGACAAGAACTAGTACAAAGCATTTAAGGAATTTGTTTTATTGAGTTTGGTTAATAAAATTATAAACAAAACAAAGAGGAAAGCAATTTAAAACATGGCGCTGTCCAAGTGCAAAAGTATGATAAAAACAAACTTATCAACAACACAAATTTTCAACAAACAAAAACAACACAATAAAGCAACACAAATTTCAGATGCCTTAAAAAAATTATTAGTTAACATATCTACTTAATAATGTTTACTAAAAGTCTGGTTTTGCATGTACACGTCCACACATACTTGTACCGCAGTCATGGTAGTTGTTTGGACTAAACATGAGTTGTCCCATTGGTATTAAGGGGACCAAAGATGCTATGGGGACAGCAGAAAGTCCCCATAACTCGGTCCTAACTTGCCTAACAATAAAAAAACCTTCCCCATAACGCGGTGACAGCCTGCCCACAGATACATACATCTGTCTGTGTTCCGTACTCACTTAGAGAGTTAGAGTGCAGGCAGAGATCTGATAATCTGGGAGGATTTGAACCAAATTTGTGAGGTTTAATTAGATTTCAAACAGCTGATGCTATTGCCCGACTGAAATGACTTCCTCCGACCGACTGAATGGATTTCCTGCCCCAGTCCCCTGTTTGCTTACTTGTCTTCCGTGTCGGCCGACAACCCGCTGAATTCCCACTCTGCTGGCCACAGACAACGTGAAGAACCCAAACTGAACAATATCTTCATCTGGTGCCGTTGGACACGGAAATGACGAGTGAGACACGACCAAAAGAAAGCAATCCCAATAACAAGTACGCAGTCAATCAGACACGTCTTAGAAGTGTCACGTCCAACTGATAAACATTTGCACCGAAGGAATTCCAGAAATTAAAACAATAATATTTTACAGAGCTATCAATTTGTTTTTTGCAGTCAGTGACGTACTGCACAATATTGGTACACTATTTGACATGCAGGCCCGTAGGCAGGGGGTCTCTCCCTCCCCCCCCCCCCCCAATTTGAATCAGCTGCAGGTCCACTTTTTCCTCACGATTGACATTTGAGATTTTTCCTGCATCCGAAGGAACTCAAGAATACATTATTTGAAATTTAGAATTTCATTATTATTTTTGGTCCTAATTTACTGGTTTCATAACATTATAGTCAGTGACTGAGCGTTAGGCCCTACTTAAAAAAGAAACTCTAGAGATACCGGTAGAGTGTACATGTGTAAGTGTTTTCCTTGTTTAAAATTTACATACATTGTACATGCACCTGCAGTTCCTGGAGAATGTCTGTGTCGTGTGAAATGTACATCTACAAACAGGCAACTGACAGAGCCACAGCATGAATGGCCTGTCCATAACTTCTGCCGAAAGTACAGTCAGCAATTACACAGTAAACAATTTGTGGATTGGACCTGGGCCCAATTTCATGGAATCCGTAACGCTAAATTTTGTGCTAACGGCCCGCAATTTTGTTCTAACTGAGCTAGCACAAAAATTCTGCGCTAACCTTGTAAGCACAGAATCCTTAGTTATGGGAAGTACGCATGCGCACAAGCCAAAATTCCTTGCTAACCCCGGAAATAAGCTAACCGTTAGCGCGGAATTTTCTGCTATAGTTAGCGGCGATTTCTCATTAACCGTTACGGGTTCCATGAAATTGGGCCCTGATGTTCAGGGACAATAAATGGTTGGACTCATTAGTTACTGTGCATCCAAGTACATACCGGTACATGTACATGTATTAAGGAACGAATCTTTTACTCGATGGGTGAGCAACTTTCTCACTCCATTCTTGTCAACATGTGTGACATTTAAGGACTTGTCCCCGATTCCTGAATACTTCACTGATTTGAATGTATTCATTCTGGCAATGTGCCAATTGAACCCTGGGAACTAACTGTCATCAGGACACTACCCATAGGTCAACTGGGATGCTACAATGTCCACATGCAGTGAACACATGAATCTTCTTGGGAGATGACAATGAAGGAAATGACAAACTGTGGCAGAGGGAAGGGGAGTGAAATTGAAAACCCGTTTGACCATAAATGGACTTGCAATCACAGCCATTAGTTGAAAGGGTTGAACTGGGGTCACCCGAGGTACATGTACATTGTACGTGTACCAACTGCATGCACTATATGGATATGACATAACTGGGTTAACTGTACACAGGTTGCACTGTTACAGCATAGCTTTGTAACCACGAAAGCCGTACCCTTGTCTTGTGCTTTAACCTAACTCCTTGAGCCCTATTACTAGAAAGTATCCTGATTCTCCCAAACTCCACCAATTTTGTCATCTAAAAAAAGATGTTGGTGTCCTTAGTCCAACAGAATCCACCAGAATCCATCAGTGCAATACCTCGTACACATAGCCAAGGAGTTAAACTGTTGAGATCCTGAATCCATCAAAGTCCCCAAACTACTCAATATGGAGGTATCTTGAATCCATCAAAATCCTGCAGTACCGCTAGGCTTACTGTCCTGAATCCATCAAAATCCCCAACTTTTTAGGAGGTATCCTGAATCTGCCGAAATCCTCCAGAACAGGGGTGTGGATTTAGGTATGTTAATAACATGGGTTTTTTTCTTTCTTATTAGAATTGTTTCTTTTGTGGTTTATTTTACAGTTGGATTCTGCAAGAAGCTTGGAAAAAAATATGCTCGCAAAGAGATTGGGTCAGGAAACTTTGACATACACATCAGCATTATCCGTCATCCCAAACAGTCACGCACAGAACGTCCATCCAACATCTACCAGATATTTTTCTGGCAGTGTTATATGATTAGTGATCAACTTCCGTCTTCCGTCGACCCATCAACGGCAGCAAGCCCTCAGAGATTCCTGCCCAACTACAACTTAGGCATGATTCACTCAGTGCATCTCCATGGGTAATAGACGTGGGAGTTGTGTGTATTCCTACCCAAAGTCCGCAGGGCAGTTTTGCCGTGAGCCTCCTGAGTCCTCAAGAATCTTCCACTGTGCAGATTATTGCACTTCTTTGTTCGTTACCTTTCAAAGTGAAAAGTATGGGTTACATATTCTTTGATCCTGCAGAATCCTCCACAACACCCTGGTGGATTTACCTAGGGTTTTCCTACTGTACTTGTAGTGAGACATTTACTGCACATACATGTACATGATCACGCACACAGGGAAACATGCTCACCATGAAACACTGCTTTGAGAAAACACAATACACTGTACATCTACAGACTAGTGTATTCACTTTGATAATTTCCTGTTCACCAGTGGCTTGTACAAATCCTACTTCTTGCACTAACTGGGAGCAGGTGGTCGCTTAAATACAACTTCCGGAAGTGTGTCGCTCAACCCTGGGACACACATGGAGCTGCAGCCTAATGCTCACGTTGTATTGGCGTATGCCGTCAGGTGTTGAATTTCTGGACAAATCAACATGGCAGACATCAATGCATACCGGTACATGTACGCGTAAACAAAATGTAAGAAATGTAATGTAAGAAACTAGAATCTTTAGCCAGAAAAATGTCAAGCATAAACTTCTTTTAGACAACCTTTCAGCTTCATTTATTTCAGACATTTCAGACAAACATAATAATGACCCAATTTCGATTGCAAGCTTTTTGAACATACATCTACATGTACTTCTGTGAATGAATTACACCATGTAAGAAGCAAATTTACACGTAGGCGAATCAGATCAGAAAAGAAGTAGAAACAAATGTAGCCAAGTCATTCGAATGAGGAGGATGTGAAAACAGTTTGTCTTCTCCACCCATGTCAACCATCATGAGTCGAATCTTAAAGATTGTCAACATTTGATTGTACCAAGAAACTAAAATGCTTTAAAATTTATTAACTATGTACAATGTACAAGCTGGTAACGGGAAAATCATGGACTTCGCGCATCAGCAGCAGTTGGTGCTTCGACCACTCATTACTAGCACTCTGTGCGAGTGGCACTTTGGTGCTCACATCGTTAATGTACTAGTATTAGGCATAAAGTACGCGCAATGAATTTTATTTTGAATGAGCAGCA